GGCGGTGGCCGTGGCGTTGGCGTGGGACGGGGGGAAGGGGACGGGGGGGGGGGGCGGACGCAGGGCCGAGGCGGGGATGGGGCGGGGCGGCTGACTGCGAGAAAAGTTTTGGTCGTCGTGCTGGCCCCGCCCCTGCCCCCGCCCCCCTTTTTTCCCAGCTTTTGGGCGGCGGCTCTTCCGAGCGGCCCAACCGGCCTACCGCGGCCTGGCTTGGCGGTGCAGGCCACCCGCGTCTATCCATGACAAAAAGGATCTGGTCCGACTCGACGCAGCCATGCTTGCCGGCTTGCAAGCCTTTTGCTTGCTTCTCGCGGGCACAACGTCGTCAGTTGGCTCTTCTCGTGACGACATGCGAGGCCCTAGATCTCTTTCCTCTTGAAAGCGCACAGCGTTGCGAGCTTGGCGACGGGCGGCTCGACGTGTGACCGGTGCGCTGCCCGCGATGTGAATCTGTCGGGAGCCCGTCGTGTGGGCCCATCCCCTGCGCTGGTTTGCCCTGCTTCTTCCATGTCCTCGAGCGTTGCCTGCCAGGTCTTCTTGGCACCAAGCCTTCAACATAGCAGATCAAAGCCTCTACAAGCTCGTCACCATCTCCATGTCGTCGTGCTGCTGTCCACAAGCACACACCTGTCTCCTCAAACGAGCGACAGATACGACGGCCAGGAGGGGCGGCCCTGCCCATGATTACGCTGACGCCTCCACCCGCAGAACGCACGACAAACGGACGCGACGGTCGACATCCTGGCAGCCTGACCTGGCTATGCCGAGATCGCCACGCGACCACGGTCCTTGCCCCGTGATAGAAGGATAAGCAGCGTGATGCTGATTCTGAGAGACACGTGCGCTAGCTGTACAAATACACAAGAGGTCGTGTGGTGCGTACTCCTGATCGGATCGAAAGCTGGACATGGAAGGCGTCGTGAGGGGTGCGGAACTGGTATACGGAGCAAGTCGTGTAGGGGTCGTCAAAAGGGCAGGTACAGATCGAGGCTCGACAAGTAGGGCGGACGGACGGGCCATTACTTGTCCAGCTGCTGGTAGTCTACGTTGGAGACCTGCTGTCCGGGCGTGAGGGCCTCCTTCTTCTCCATCGACTCCTGCATCGACGACGGGTTGCTGGCCTCGACGTCGCGCGGGACGTTGATCTCCTGCTGGGACCAGTCCTCGCTCTCCCAGCTCTTGGGCTCGAGGAACATGGCGCCTTCGGACAGCTTGATGCCTCCCTCGACGGGCCAGATCTGGCACAGCAAGAGGTAGACGAGACCCGAAGTGAGGAAGCCGACGGGGTACGCCAGGATGTAGATCCTCTCGGCCGCCACCGAGACGTCGGCGCCGAGGACGCCGGCGAAGCCCGTCACCGATACGGCGATGCCGGCCAGGTAGGCGATGAAGGCGCGCGGGTTGACGCCGCCGCAGTAGTGGTACTGGCTCGGGGCGGTGGGTTGCGACTTTTTGGACGCCGCCGAGAAGAGCGAAGGGACGTTGAGGACGCCGCGGCGGACGATGTAGTAGTCGAAGACGACGCAGCCCGAGATCGACGAGAGGAAGAGGCTGTAGGCTGAGAGGTAGGTGGCGAAGCTGTTCGAGTCCTTGGTGAGGTGCCAGGGGCACATGGCGAAACCGACGGCGGCCGCGACAAACGAGCCGCGTCGGATGGTGATGTAGCGCGGCAAGAGGGCGGCCAGGTCGTGGCCGGCGCTGAGCGAGTTGGCGGCGACATTGGTGCCGATCTGGCCCACGACAAAGGCGAGGGCGATGAAGAAGACGCCAGCCCGCGACTTGGAGTCGTACGGGTCGATGTCGAGGCGGGCGCCGAGCAGGTCGACGGGGTTCCAGATGACCTTGCCGTAGATGACGGTCGAGGACGAGGCGATGATGATGCCGCAGAACGACGTCAAGCTAAAGGTGAGCGGGATGGCAAAGAGCTGGCTGTAGGTGACGCTCCTCGTCGACTTGGCCATCCTCGAGAGGTCGGGGATGTTGAGGACGAGCGTGGCCATGTTGGAGATGCACGAAAAGAGGGCCGACAGGAACTTCCAGCTGAACTCGGTGCCCCTGACTGTGGCGGGCTGCTTGACAATGGGGCCGAGTCCGCCAGCGTCGGCGATCGACCACGCAAAGAAGGAAATGGCGGCGATGGGCACCACCACCGACTTGACGGTGAAGAACCACTTGACGTCCTGCGGCTTGAGGTAGACGATGGGCAGCGAGATGAGCGAGAACAGGAAGAACGATAGAAAGTCGCGCGTCGTGACGCCGGCCGAGTCCGAGAGGCCGTTGTGGATGTTGTTGTAGGAGGGGGCGAGACACCGCAGCACCAACGTGATGCACTGGCCGCCGATGTACGACTGCACGCCGTACCAGATGCACGCCATGACGGCCCGGTTCAGGACGGGCCAAGCCGAGCCAAACACGCCGAAACTGGCCCTGACAAGGATGGGGAACGAGCAGTGGTAAACGGCACCCACGCGCGCCGTCAGGACGACGAGGAAGGCGACGAGGGTGTAGCCGACAATGATGGCGGCCCATGCCTGCGCCCAGCTGAGGCCGGCGCTGGTGGCCGTCGAGGCGATGAGGAACGTCGAGAGGTTGAGGCCATCAGAGATCCAGAACGCCACAAACGCCCACGACCCCCACGAGCGGCGGGAGGGTGGCACGGGGAGGAGGTCCTCGTTGCGCATGAACGACTGCGCCCGCGTCTCGCCGGGGAGGCGCTCGCTGCCCTTGACCTGGAGGGCCCGTAACAGTCTCGACATGGTGGTCCGCGGGGTTTGCCTGATGAGGGCTGTCGAGTGGTGGTGTGAGAGCGCAGGCGAATGGAGGTCGGAGGTCGGCTGCAGAGGCTGGGTTCGAGGTGCGGAAGGGAGGGACGACGTCGAGCAGGTGTAGAGTGGCAGGGCGAGGGGGGAGGGGGCAGTGGGATCAGGTTCGAGGGGCTTGGAGAGAGGCGGAGGGCCTGAGAGTGCCGGTCAGGTCTACCTATTCATATACCGGGCGCTGATGGAAGCCCGAGATGGCGAAGCCAGCTATGTGCGGTCGAAGCGGGGGGAAAGGGCCACCGGCGGCCTGCTGGTGTCGTGCTGCGACGAGGTCGGGCAACGACGCCAGGGAAGCGGCAGCGACGGCGAGCGCCGTATCTCTGAGCGAGTCAGGGCCACATGTCGATGGATGGAACGGGGACGGGCAGACGAGGTACTGTAGAGGCGAGGCAGGGCAGCGCAGCCAGGCCAGGCCTACGTACACCCACCCACTACTACTGTGCTACCGGTAGCGGCGTCGGCGGCGGCGGCATCGTGGCGTTGCATCTAAATGGCCGCCTTCCTTATCTCGCATCCTGACACCTCTTCCCCCCGCGCCCTTTGACGTCCCGCTTGTAGAGGGGCTAAGCGGTCCCGTTTTTAAAGACGGCCGAGTCGCCTGCTTCTGCCCTCTGTATGTAGGCTGCCGGCAGCGGCTGCGGGTGAGTGGGTGGTGAAGAAGAAGGGGCGCGGGCGAGCTGCCAGGCCTGGCACCGTTAGGCTCGCAATCTGGCCCGCGGTCCTGCCCCGGGCGCTCTCTCTTTCGCGCTCTGTGCTGCCTCTTCTTCTTTCCTCTCCTTGTCTGCCTCGCTTGCCGGCTCCATGTGAAATGGAAAGCGAGGCCCAGGCAAGGGGAAGCGGGGCGGGCGAGGAGTCACAGAGGCGGAGGCGGGGTCGGGGTCGGGGGCCCGACGAGCGTTATCGGGTGAGATTCCCTGCCTTGGATTCGACGAATCAGCAGTCGAGCTTGCCTCGCCTCGCCACACGAAGGAACGGCAACTCGGCCGTGACCCCGTCGACGTACACTACCCCGCAAAATCCGGCGCCTCCTCCTTGCCGCGGGTCGTCATCGTCGTCGGCCTGCCCTGCCCTGCCTCACCTTCCAACACCATCGTCGTGCCTTAGGACCAGCCGCTCGTGCGACCAGACTGCCGGGATCGAAGCTACACTTGGCGCCGGCGCGGCTTATCGCTATCACGAGCCACTCTTATCCCTGAACGGCGCTCGCCATGTGGGCGCCGGCCACGCCCCGAATCAAGCTCAATCGTCGCTCGAAGGGATGCGCGTTTGGACTCTCCTGTCATGTACAGAGCCTGTCCAGCACAAGAGCGGCGGGCTATGGCTTCACGGCGGAGCGGCGATATGCTCGGTACAGCTGATTGAACCGTTTCCGTGCCCACGCGAGGCACGACATGCGCTGATATGGACAGCAACAGGTCCGCATCAGCCCATGTCCAAGGCACAGGAACTCGTAGGCGCAGACATGGCTCAGGTGACGATGTATAGATCGATTCCGCAGGAACGGCAGCTCCGATCGAAAAGAAAGCATTAACGGCAACAGCGAAGCCCGGCCCCCTGTGGCCCTCTAGAAGAACTCGCGATCCGTGACGCAGCCCTCGCTGGCGTTCTGGACGTCGCGTGCAAACTTGTACAGCCAGCCGCGCTTGACCTTGATCGTCTTGCCCTTCTTGGTCTGCTCCCATTCCTTTCTCCGGCTGGCCAGCTCGGCCTCGTCGACCTGCAGGTTGATCTCGCGCGTGGCGGCGTCAATCGTAATCTTGTCGCCGTCGCGCACCAGCGCAATCGGTCCACCCTCGGCCGCCTCGGGGACGACGTGTCCCGTACAGAAGCCGTGCGAGGCCCCAGAGAAGCGTCCGTCGGTGATGAGCGCCACCGTCTTGCCCAGCCCGGCTCCCATGATGGCCGCCGTGGGGCCGAGCATCTCCGGCATGCCCGGTCCTCCCTTTGGCCCGACGTAGCGGATCACCACGACCGAGCCGTGCGTGATGTGGCCGTTGGCGATGCTGTCGACGATGCCCTCCTCGCCGTCAAAGACCTTGGCCACACCCTCAAACTGCAGGCCCTCCTTGCCCGTCAGCTTGCTCACCGCTCCACCGGGACACAGCGAGCCGCGCATGATGGTGAGGTGGCCCGTGGGCTTGAGCGGTCGCTCGATGGGGTGGATGATGTCCTGCGTCTCAAAGTCGAGCGGCTCGACGTCGGCCAGGTTCTCGCGCATCGTCTTGCCCGTGACCGTCATGACGTCGCCGTGGAGCAGGTCGGTGTGGTCGAGCAGGTACTTGAGCACGCGCGGGATGCCTCCGATCTTGTGCAGGTCCTCCATAAAGTAGCGTCCCGACGGCTTGAGGTCGGCGAGGAAGGGCGTCTTGTCTCCGATCCTCTGGAAGTCGTCGATGGTCAGGTCAATGTCTCCCGCCCGCGCGACGGCGATGAGGTGGAGCACGGCGTTGGTCGAGCCGCCGAGGATGTGCGTGACGGTGATGGCATTCTCAAACGCCTCCTTGGTCATGATGTCGCGCGGCTTGAGGTCGAGCGCGAGCAGGTTCTTGATCGCCTCTCCGACGCGCAGGCACTCCTGGATCTTCTCCGGGTACACGGCGGGCGTGCTCGAGGTGAGCGGCAGACCCATGCCCATGACCTCGATCGCCGTCGAGAGCGTGTTGGCGGTGTACATGCCGCCGCAGGCGCCGGGGCCGGGGCACGAGTTGCGGATAATGTCGACGCGCTCCTCGGCAGTGATCTTGCCCGCTGCGTAGGCTCCCGAAGCCTCGAAGTTGTCGGCGACGTTGCAGCTGTCTCCCTTCTTGCGGCCCATGCCGGGGATGTCCATGTTGTGCGTTCCAGGCTGGATCGTGCCGCCGTAGACGATGATCGATGGGCGGTTGTGTCGCATGCAGGCAATCATGCAGCCGGGCATGTTCTGTGCGAGGGGCGGCGGGCGCCAAAAGACGTTACGCTCCAGTCAGCCTCGCTATTCTTCCCCGCTCTTCAGGCCGACCGGTCTCCGCTGGCTCACCTTATCACAGCCGGGGATCGAGACGTTGGCGTCGTGGTACTGTGCCATGGTGATGGTCTCGATCGAATCGGCGATGAGCTCTCGCGAGGGCAGCGAGTAGTTCATGCCTATTGACGCACGGGAAAGAGGACAGAGCGATGATCGGCGTCAGGGGGACGATCTGCAGCACGCGGCCGTTGCAATGCCCAGGGATCCACTCACCAGGCCCGCCCATGGTGATGGCGTCCGAGACACCGACAGTGTTGTTCTGCAGACCGACCAGGCCGGCGGCCTCGCAACCCTCCTTGATCTTCTTTCCAAACTCGAGCAGGTGGCTGCAGGCACGATGGAACGGAAGGGAGAGTGGCGACTGTCAGCAAGGACTGGCTTTTCCCCAATTTCGTCTTCGACGATGCGAACGGTCGAATCGGGGGTGCTCACGTGTTGCAAGGGTTGCCCTCCCACCAGACCGATGAGACTGTGTCAGGATGGACGAGCGAAGAGGGAACCGAGATCAGCCTCGCCTTCTCCCCTCCGGCTTTAGTCGCGTTGGTGGTACAGCCATGGCGCTACTCACTTCCGACCTGTGCCTTGTCAAAGTCGTCTACGGTGAGGCCGCAGGCGTGGAGCATCGACTGCGCACCGCCCTTGTCGACGCTCTGGGTGATGAAGGAGCTGATCTTGTTGAGCTTGGGCGCATCGCCGCTGGCGCCGTTCGAGGGCCGCGACGGCGTGCGGATCTCGACCTGACCGGGAGCCATGGCGGAGGTTGTTGAGGAGTGGAGCGGCCGGGAGGTGAAGGAGGTTGTCCGAGGCCGGTGGTAGAAGTTGCTGAATCCTCGTGGAGAGAGAGCGTCGCACGAGCAGTGAAGGGAGCGAGCAGGATGTCGAGGACAGGGGGCGAGAGTTTTGGGGAGTAGGTGGGTCCAAAGGAGAAGAGGAGAAGAAGAGGAGGCCTAGGCTTATGTAGGTAGTGCGGAAGAGGGATGCTGCCTGCAGGAGTGGATAGTAGTGTGGCCCTGAGCGGCGAGCTGGCGTCTAGAGACGAGCGGGGGGACAGGTTGGGGATACCGGACAGAAGACAGCGTGGGGGATGGAGGGATGGAGCAGGCAGGCCGCCCGGCGGACGGGCAGGCGGGGACACCAAGGGGCAACGAGGACGGTTGGGGGCGGCAGTCGAGCGCAGCGGGGCAGAAAGTCGCCGGTCGTCCGAGTGCGGGGAAGAGCCCTCGCTGGCCGCCCGCCCGCCTGCCTGCCTGGCTCCCGGGCCAACCAGCAAAGCAGCGAGGCCTGCCTGCCAGCCTTTGATCCTCGGTCGCCCTCGCCCTCGCCCTCGGAATCGACCCGCTCTGTACGTGGGTGCTGCTGATTAACGGTCCCTTGCTGCAAGACAGATAGACCGACGACGCCTCGATGGTAGTGAGCCTTTTGTTTGCGCGTGCCGTCGAGCTTGGTCCGGCACGCACTACTCAGGCGCCAGGCAGGAGGGGAGCTACAAAGGCTGATGTTTGAGCGTGGCGACGGCACGAATAGCGGTAGCCGCTCATTTGACCGAGCAAGGCCAGCCAGCCAATCCCAGCTGGCCGGTTTGAGCATCGCCTTCCCCCACGCCGAGGGCATCCCACCGGCCGGCCCGACTCTTCGGCTGGCCTTCTTTCCCTCTATTTTGCGGCTCCCAACCTTCGCCATCGGGGCGGGCGCTCGGGCCGTCGGGCGCAGGACACAGGCAGCGTCTTCCCTGCACGCCATCGGGGCCAGACAGGCTTCGGGTTCACGTCGTTCCGCATTCGAGACGCACCGACCAGGCAGACACGGTCGGGCTAGTTTAGGCTAGGCGAGCCCCGAGCCCAAGCCCAAGCCCAGGTTGGCACGGCACAACTGGGCACGGCACCACGGCGGCGGGCGCAGCAGAGAAGTGGATATCAAAGGGATGCGCGCGGGCGGTTTTTCGCTTTTCGTCAGAATGCTTCGTCACGCCGGGACATATCTACAGCGAGTCCCCGGTCAAACTGGTGGTGTACAGAAGGAGAGGGGGGGCGCGCGAGAGGAAAGGGATCGGAACGGGGTTGAGGGAAGGGGGAGTGGAAAGGGGGAAGGGGGGGCTGCACGATCCTCATGCAGAGACGCCGCGCTTCTTGGCCTCGGCGGCCATGAGGTTGAGCGCCGAGCCGGCCTTGAACCAGCCAATCTGGTTCTCGTTGTACGAGTGGGTCAGCGGGATCTCGTCCTTGCTGCCGTCCTTGTGCTTGGCCACCAGCGTGATGATGCTGCCGGGGGCAAACTCGGTGACGCCAACAAGGTCGACCAGGTCGTCGCCGCGCACCTTGTCGTAGTCGGCCGGGTTCTGGAACTCGAGGGCGAGCAGGCCCTGCTTCTTGAGGTTGGTGTTGTGGATACGGGCAAAGCTGCGAACGATGACAGCGCAGCCGCCGAGGTAACGGGGCTCGAGGGCGGCGTGCTCACGCGAGGAGCCCTCACCGTAGTTCTCGTCGCCGATGACAACCCACGGCTTGCCCTGGTCGCGGTACGAGATGGCGGTAGCCGGGACCGGGCCCCACTCGCCCGAGAAGACATTCTGGACCTCGTTGGCCTTGCCGTTGACCTCGTTGATGGCGCCAATCAGGCAGTTGTTGGAGATGTTCTGCAGGTGGCCACGGTACTTGAGCCACGGGCCACCGGCCGAGATGTGGTCAGTGGTGCACTTGCCCTTGGCCTTGATCAGGACGGGGCAGTCGGTGGGGTTCTTGCCGTCCCACGGCTTGAAGGGCTCCAGCTTCTGCAGGCGGTCCGACTTGGGGTCGACGGCGACCTCGATCGAGGCGCGGTCCTCCGGGGGAGCCTGGAACGTGTTCTCGCCAGCGTCGTAGCCGCGAGGGGGCAGCTCCTTGCCAGAGGGGTCCGAAAACTTGAACTCTTTGCCGTCGGCGCCCTTGAGCGAGTCGGTGAGCGGGTTGAAGGTGAGGCGACCGGCAAAGGCCATGGCGGTGACAAGGTCGGGCGAGGCGACAAAGGCGTGGGTGGCCGGGTTGGCGTCGTTACGGCCGGTGAAGTTGCGGTTGTACGACGTGATGATCGAGTTCTTCTCGCCCTTGGGCACGTCGGTTCGGTCCCACTGACCGATGCAGGGGCCGCAGGCGTTGGCGAGGACCATGCCGCCGGCGTTCTCGAGCGTCTCCATGATGCCGTCGCGCTGGATGGTGGCGCGGATCTGCTCGGAACCGGGGGTGATGGTGAACTTGGCCTTGGTCTTGAGGCCGTGGGCGAGGGCCTCCTCGGCGATCGAGGCCGAGCGGCTCATGTCCTCGTACGACGAGTTGGTGCACGAGCCGATCAGCGAGACCTTGAGCTCCTCGGGCCAGTCGTTCTTCTTGACCTCCTCGGCAAACTTGGAGATGGGGGTGGCAAGGTCAGGGGTAAAGGGGCCGTTGATGTGGGGCTCGAGCTCGCTGAGGTTGATCTCGAGGTGCGAGTCGTACTCGGCGCCCTGGTCGGGCAGCAGGTTCTTCTGGAAGCCCTTGGCCAGGTCGGCAATGTCGGCACGCTTGGTGGCGCGCAGGTAGTCGCCCATGCGCTCGTTGTAGGGGAAGACGGAGGTGGTGGCACCAATCTCGGCACCCATGTTGCAGATGGTGGCCATACCCGTGCACGAGAGCGACTCGACACCGGGTCCCTTGTACTCGATGATGGCACCGGTACCGCCCTTGACGGTGAGCTCGCCGGCCACCTTGAGGATAATGTCCTTGGGCGTCGTCCAGCCGCTCATCTTGCCCTTGAGCTCGACACCAATGACCTTGGGGCACTTGAGCTCCCAGGGAATGTTGGCCATGACGTCGACGGCGTCGGCTCCTCCGACACCGCAGGCAACCATGCCGAGACCACCGGCGTTGGGGGTGTGCGAGTCGGTGCCAATCATCATACCACCGGGGAAGGCGTAGTTCTCGAGGATGATCTGGTGAATGATGCCGGAGCCGGGCTTCCAGAAGCCGAGGCCGTACTTGGCGGTGCAGGTGGCGAGGAAGTCGTAGACCTCCTTGTTGATGTCAATGGCGCGGGCAAGGTCCTTGGCGCCTCCGATCTGGGCCTCGATCAGGTGGTCGCAGTGCACAGTCGAGGGGACGGCGACCGTGGGGAGGCCGGCCGACATGAACTGGAGCAGGGCCATCTGGGCGGTGGCGTCCTGGCACGCAACTCGCTGTGTGAGGCAAGCGCAGGAGAGGAAGCGGGCGTAGCGAAAGAGGAAGTGGAAGGGGGTTCATGGAGAGTCAGTGGCCTGTCGGTCGTGGAAATAGCGCCCTCGCATTCGAATGACATGGGAGGCCAGAGCCGGTCGACGAGACGGTACTCACGTCGGGTCGGAGCTTGAGGTACGAGTTGCCACGGCTGATCTCCTGAGTCTCGGGCTGGTCAAGGTGTCCGTAGACGATCTTCTCAGCAAGAGTCAGGGGCTGGTTGAGCCTGCAGGAGCGGGCGTGAAAAGCAGACAGTGCGAGGGAGGGAACCAGGTCAGCGGTCTGTTCAGAGGCTCGCGCTTGGTGAAGCGGATCCCGCTCTGTGCTCCTGTGTGGCAAGAAGGCAAGTAGGCCCGCCCTACGTGCGGATGCCATACCGGCGCACCGAGCTGGTAGCGGACGGAGGCCGGCGAGCAGCGAGGAAGGTCCTGAGCCACGAGCGGCCGAGCGCCACTGCTGCCACTGGAGGTTTTTCCCGTCTCCCCTCGCGCGCCACTGCCTCCCAAGAAGCTGTGCAGTTCCGCACTCAAGCGCCGCTGAGCTTGCTTCGCGGCTCTCGAAACCAGCGACACTCACCTGGAGCGGACGACCTTGAGGTTGTCGTCGATGCGCTTGTAGTTGACGTAGTAGCCCTTGCCCTTCTCGAGGGGGCTCATGTCGACCTTCTTGTCAAAGAGGGCGGCGTTGATCTCGGCAGCCTCCTCTGCGACGGTGGCGTAGCCACGCGCGAGGGGCGCCTTGGTGGCCGCACGGAGCGACGAGGATCGCAGGGCACGGAGAGACAGCATGATGGCGGCGAGCTATTCTCTCTTCCTGCAGCGGAGTGCACGGAGACGATGAGAACAGGTGAGGGAGGAAGATGGCGGGAGGGGTGGGGATGCAAAAGAGCAACGGGGGGTGGTGGTGGAAGAGAGAGGGGAGGAAAGAGGGGGCGACGAGCGGCGGAAGATGAATGATATCAGAGAGGGCCAGCAGGGTAGGGGATCGCACAGGCAGGGCCGAAGCGGGTTGGCGGCTGGCGGCTGGAGCTATCCGGGGTTTGGCCTCGGGCAGTGGCCAGCGCAGATCGAGAAAAAGCTTGCCTGCCCGTCCGCCCATCCCTCCGATCCGCTGGCGCGCGGCCCGCCTGCACGTCCAGGCCGCGGGCGACGGTCGACGTCGACCGCCTCGACGACCAACAACCCAGGCAATTTGGTTGGCTGGCTGGCGCCGTACGCACCTGCCTGCCTGCCTGCCTGCTGGGTCTTTCGGTTCGGCTGGCCGGCCACCCTTTCACGCCGGAGCAAGCCGTCGCCAGGTCTCGCCCTCCCATTTCAACCTTTCTGTGGCCGTTTCAATTGGCGCAATACAAAACCCTGCGCGCCCAGCTTAATGCCACCGGGCAAATCGGTCCAGTCAGCTCGCGATGGCCACGGCTGTCTCGAGAACCGGCGCAGCAGGCCAAGCCAAGCCCAGCCAGCTCGGCCGCCTGTCCTACCGAAGCCTGGCCTTGCCCTTTCCCCACACCTTGGCAGCAGGCCTAGGTCGGCCGGATCGCTCGTTTGGTCGCCCAGTACTCAGAGCACGACGGCCTACTACTCCAGCTTTCAATGGGCCAGCGACCAGCCTGTGCCCTACTGTACATACAGGCTGCCTCGGCGTGGGACAACCACAGGGAAGACGCGCAGAGGTTGCGTCGAGTTAAGGAAGAACAGCAGACTCCCTGCTGGACGGCAAGGCGCAACAACCACCACAGAGACGAGCAGGGTCCCGGCCAAGAAGATCTGCTTGGCCAGCAAGCCGGCGTGGAAAAGCCGTCAGCGCCGCGAGGTGAGGCTGCGGCCAATCAGCGCGCAGCCATCTCGAAGCTCGCGTCTGGCAAGGGCGTCGGTCGTCTGCGCGCATCCACGCCCGCTTGGCCGCCTCGTCCGCTGTCGTCGTCCGATCCAACCCGAAATTTGGGAGGCACTTCGGAGCCGGAGACTGGCCGATTGAGGTTGGAATCGGGACGGCCTCAGCCGATAGAGTCGAAAGGGTGGGTCAGCCGCCGGGGTGCTATCGACAGCGACCCCTGCTGGCCTCTGGGTCGCAAGGCGATGAGCACCGACGTACACTCTTCTGTGAGACCATCACGCTCCTCCAGGCGCGCGCGGCCACGATGGAGCAAGCTAGGTGCGGCTGGGACCCTTGACCCTCCTCCTGGCTGGGCGGCGGCGCTGACCGATGGCGTGCCAGGCCACCCAGTCAGGCAGGCCAGGCCGCGAGTGATCTGGCTGAGCGCGCTCGAATCATCCGGACCCGAAGGCACCGGCTGCCTCGCCTCAGGCGGCCGGTTGGGCTGAGCTAAGGGCAGCGCCCGAAATCCCGGTTTTCGGGATGGCCTCGTCAGCAGGCGTGGAATTGGCTGAAGCAAGCAGAGAGGAGCCCAGCCACCGGCAGCAGCCACTCAACCGCGCCGCCTGGTATCGGTGGCTCACGACTCGAGATCGACCCACATCGCTCACCACCACCACAACCACCCGCCCCTCGACCTACAGCTATCCTCGCCTACTCCGGCAGATTATCTCTTCGGGCTCGCTCTTCCGCCCGCAGACCCCTCCTTCATTGCTGCTCAAGCAGCTTCAGCGGCGTTCATCTCTGCGGCGCTTCTGACGAGGGTCTCTCGAGCCATCTTTGTGCCAAACGCGCGACCGCCACCTGGCTTCCGCCTGCCCTCGAGCGTTGCGTTTCGCTGCCGCGCAATCACCCTCTCCATCTCCTGCTTGCAACGCTCATGTTGCGCTCCTTTGCGGCCCGCTCGGGCTCGCGCCTCGGCGCCCTATCGGCATCGTCGGTCGCCTCCACCTCGCGGAGCGGTCTCTGTCAGGCATCAGCTTCTCGCACTCTCACCCAGCTTTCACGGTCGCGAGCTCCCCATCCTGCATCGCGCACCGCTCTCCAGTCTGCACTGTCGACCTCTTTGACGAGAAGCAGCGCACGCCTCTACGCCACCGAGTCGGACAAGGACTCCAAGCAGCCAGAGAAGAAGGACAGCAAGGATGCCGAGAAGAAGGACGAGGACGATACCAAGGAGCGGCTAGAGAAGGAGATCAACAAGGGACTCGAGGACGCGAAGAAGGGCCTGCCCGAGAGCCTCAAGGAGTTCTTCGACAGCGGCAACCAGAAGCCGCCAGCTTCGGACAAGAAGAAGGCGAGCGCGGACGCCGAGGAGTCCGGCGATGGCGAAAAGAAGCCGAAGAAGAAGTCCGGCAGCGGAGCACAGGGCGGCGCCGGCGGGCCCCAGGGCCAGTACACCGAGATTCGCATCAACGCCAACACCATCCTCGCCACTCTCGTCTCGACCTACCTCATCTACCGCCTCACGTCGCCCGAAACTCCCAGCCGAGAGATTACGTGGCAGGAGTTCCGCACCGCCTTCCTTGACAAGGGCCTCGTCGATCGCCTCGTGGTCGTCAACCGCAGCAAGGTCAAGGTGTACCTTCATTCGAACGCGACCGGCTCGATGTACCCCTCTTCGAGCCGCGAGAGCGGCAGCGCCGCCACCGCTGGCGGTCAGAGCCACTACTGGTTCAGCGTCGGCTCCGTCGAGGCGTTTGAGCGCAAGCTCGATGACGCCCAGCGCGAGCTCGAGATCCCCGCCAGCGAGCGCATCCCCGTCGCCTACCACGAGGAGATCTCGACGGGCTCGACGCTGCTCCACTTCGCCCCGACGCTCCTCATCGCTGGTCTCCTGTTCTGGATGACGCGGCGGGCGGCAGGCGGCGGAATGGGTGGTGGCGGCGGCGGCGGACCCGGTGGCATCTTCGGCATCGGCAAATCGCGCGCCAAGATGTTCAACCAGGAGACCGAGGTCAAGACCAAGTTCCGCGACGTCGCCGGCATGGACGAGGCCAAGGAGGAGATCATGGAGTTTGTCAACTTCCTCAAGAAGCCCGAGAAGTACGAGAAGCTCGGCGCCAAGATCCCACGCGGTGCCATCCTCAGCGGCCCGCCGGGTACCGGTAAGACGCTGCTGGCCAAGGCCACTGCTGGCGAGGCCGGCGTGCCCTTCCTCAGTGTCTCCGGCTCCGAGTTTGTCGAGATGTTCGTCGGAGTCGGACCCTCGCGTGTGCGTGACATGTTTGCCAACGCGAAGAAGCACGCGCCGTGCATCATCTTTGTCGACGAGATCGACGCCATCGGCAAGGCGCGTGGCAAGGGCGGCAACTTTGGCGGCAACGATGAGCGCGAGAGCACCCTCAATGAGCTCCTCGTCCAGATGGACGGCTTCGGCACCGAGGAGCACGTCGTCGTCCTCGCCGGTACCAACCGACCGGACGTGCTCGACCCTGCGCTGATGCGGCCCGGACGTTTCGACCGGCACATTGCCATCGACCGGCCCGACATCTCCGGCCGCAAGGACATCTTCAAGGTGCACCTGCGCCCGCTGACGCTGCACTCGTCGACTAACCTCGACCTGCTGGCCGAGAAGCTGTCGACGCTGACGCCCGGCTTCAGCGGCGCCGATGTCGCCAACGTCTGCAACGAGGCGGCGCTCATCGCGGCGCGCGGCGGCGCCGAGGCCATCGAGGAGCACCACTTCGACCAGGCCATCGAGAGGGTCATTGCCGGCCTCGAGCGCAAGAGCCGTGTGCTGAGCCCCGAGGAGAAGAAGACGGTGGCCTACCACGAGGCGGGCCACGCCGTCTGCGGCTGGTTCCTCGAGCACGCCGACCCTCTGCTCAAGGTCTCGATCATCCCGCGCGGCGTCGGCGCGCTCGGATACGCCCAGTACCTGCCCAAGGAGCGCTACCTCTTCTCGACCGAGCAGCTCATTGACCGCATGTGCATGACGCTCGGCGGCCGCGTCTCCGAGGAGATCTTCTTCACCACCATCACCACGGGCGCTCAGGACGACCTGTCCAAGATTACGCGGATGGCGTTTGAGATCTGCGCCTCGTACGGCATGAACAAGGAGCTCGGGCCGATCTCGTACCGCACCGAGCAGGAGAGCATGCACAAGCCCTACTCGGAGAGGACGGGCGAGATGCTCGACTCCGAGGTGCGCAAGATGGTCGCCGAGGCGCACCGCCGCACCACCGACCTCCTCACCAAGCACCGCGCCGACGTTGAAAAGGTGGCGCAGCTCCTCCTCGAGCGTGAGGTCATCACGCGCGAGGACATGCGCAACCTGCTGGGCGTCCGCCCCTTCAAGGGCGCCGACGAGGCCGACCAGTACCTCGACAAGAAGGGCAAGCTGCTGCGCAAGGGCGAGAACAGCGCGCCGCCGCCGCCGCCCGAGGACTTTGGCCAGCCCGAGCTGGCGGCCAAGGGGCAGGAGCCTCCGCAGGCGTAGAAGGTTTCCCCCGCCCCTCTGCTCCCTCCCTCTCATCTCACTCCACCCCTCCTCCTCGTCTCTCTGCCTCCTCCCCTTAGTCGCTCGTTGGCAGCTTGGCAGCGCTGTTGTTTCCTGCCCGTAACGAAAACAGCATGGTAGACTCCCGTCGTTCTGTTGTCGTCGGCCCGCTCCAAGAAAAACATCCCATCTCATGCATGCGTGGTGCCCGTTGGCCGTGTGCGATCATGCGACCCGAGCTGGTCGGCGGGCAGGGACGGAGGAAAGTGGGCGCAGCGTGCTGGATCGACGATAGTGGCCGGCATCCTCCCGCGTTGTCGGGCCCCACGATGATGGCGGGCTCGGACAGAATCAGCCACGCAGCTGATCTGCGACGAGGACTGTGACGGCCGGCCAGCCATCTGATGTCGCGGCATGGACCGGCTGGATCGGAGGCGATCGTCGTTCAGAGTTCGTGAATAGTGGTACAGCAGCCGGTGCGCTCGGGGTCGTTGAACGCCGAGCCTGGGCCACGGATCGGGTCGAGAAGGCTGGGCGGCCAGGCATGGCGTGCGCAGGGACGGACTAGGAGTCGTCCATCATGATCTGGATGAATTCTTGCTCGTTGATCTCGCCGTCCTGGTCGAGGTCAAACTCGTCAATCATTGCTTGTCTATTCCCGGTCGATCGTCGTGCATTGAACGGATCGAGGTGAAACAGCAAGAGGGTAGGTAGGGAGGGTAGGCAGAGAACCTCTTGTCAGTGACGCTCGAAGAGATCAAAGGGAAGGACGGCCCGGACGCAGATCGACGCGATGGACGTACAGCTCATCGTCGTCGAGCGACTCGCCGAGTTCCTTTGCCACGCGCTTGAGGTTGCGCAGGCTGATCTTGCCCGTGCCGTCGTCGTCAAAGAGGGCAAATGCACGCCGGATCTCGTCCATCGGATCTCTTGATGCGATGCGTTCCGACACTGCAGGCGGGCGCGCAGGGGCAGGCGAGCAGGGCGCAAGGGCAACAGAAGAAAGGGAGCGGAGAAGAGAGGCAGGGAAGCGTCAGCAAGGCGGCCGGGGGCGTCGTCGAAGTCTTGCCGACCGGAGACAAAGCTCACTGATCTTGTTGAAGTCGTCCCACTCGATGACGTTGGCGCCCGTCTTGTCGTGGTCTCGCAGCAGCTTGAGCACCTCTGCCTTTTTGAGGTCAAAGCCGAGCGCCCTCATTGCGACCTTGAGCTCGTGGTAGTCGATGGCGCCGTCTTTGTCGGTGTCGAAGAGCTCGAAGGCCTCCTTGATCTCCTGCCGCTGCTCGTCGGTCAGGTCGGCCGGCGTGTTGCCGAGGTGCGCGAGCCGCGAGGATCCACCTGCACCGCCGCCGCCGCCGTGGAGGTTGTGGTGGTGGTGCGACGACGAGGCGAGCGGTGTCCCGTTGGGCTGGGTGGTGACGGTACGCCGCGACTTGGACTTTGATGCGGGCGTGTAGAGCGACATGGCTGGCTCGACGGTGCTGAGAAGGTGGGTGATCGCAGAGTCAAGATGTGACGGTGATCAGAGGTGGAGTGCCTGACGGCGCTGGAGCGTGGGCGGAAACGAAGAATCGAGGATGGGGGGGAGGGCGAATAATGGGACGGTGGAGACAAAGCGAAAGCAACAGGTGCCAGACGAGGCCGTGCACCCACACGCCGCACCTCTTTCGCAGTCCAACAGGTTAGGCGCGCCCGCCGCCCGGTGCGTGTGCCTTTTCCCCCCGCTTGGCACGGCTGGCCAGGCCTGCCTCTCTAGTTGCCCGGCCTTTACTCGAGAGGGTCCCTCCATCCCTCTTGGCGCGACGCGTCTCGCCTGCTCGCCTGCGCCAGCCACGACCTCGGTGAAGCCTTGCCTCGTCTCAGCCACCGTCCTCCCTCACACCTGCCTTCCCCTTGAATGGTAGCCATCCTCTCAAACGGTAGCACTGCTCGCCACGGCCGGCAGCATCGCAACCCGCGCACGACAACCACACGCCCGCTACGGGCATTGGGCTTTTCATATCTTGGATGTTTGCATGTGGGCGACCAGGGGGTAAGGGGCGTCCAGGGCCACTGGAGACGGCACCAGGGCGACGACGTGACCAGGGAAAAAAGGGAGCGGGAAAAGTACATGGGGCGTTGAGGATTGCAGGGGATGGTCATAATGCAAAGAGAGGGGGGACGAGGGAGAAGCGACGCAGCAGACGGACAGCAGGTCGACGCCGTCTAGGACCCCGATCCGAGCGACAACCAAGAAGGAAAGCATGGCCCACATGCAAAAAGGGAGCCCTTCATGCCGCCTCCTCGCGCCGCCTCCTCAGACGCCGTCTATGGCGGCTCTTCGACCGGAGGCAAGCCGAACAACGCCGGGTCCCACTTCCTCGCCGCGTCCGACCCTCTTGCATCGACTTCCCCCATCGGCCGTTCAGACGCCCAAGTCGAGCTCGGGCCGATCTTTTGGTGTGGTGTGGTGTTTGGCGTGTGTGTGTATGTGTGTGATTTTTGGTGCGACGACGGCTCTCCCATTACCACCTCCCTCGGAGAGAACAAGAGGTGGCCTCGTCGCCGACCCTCCGACTAGCACGGTCACCGTGAGGAAGACTCTGGAACAATTGCGCGGCAGGAACCAAAGACGAGACGCTTAGTGGCCAAGGGCCTGGAGCTTGGCGTTGACGTCCTTGACCTGGTCGGCCTTGGCGGTGAGGGCAGCGGCGCGCGCCTTGTTGGCGGCGACCTTGCGCTCGTAGTAGGCCTGCTGCTTGACCTTCCTCTTGGCCTCGAGCTTGTCGACGGTGGCCTGGTGGCTCCAGCCGACCTCGTGCGAGATCCTCTTGATGGTGGCGTACTTGCGGCCGGGCTTGAGTCGGAGGACCCGGAGAGCGGCGGGGATGACCATCTTCTTCTGGCGCTCGTACGGCGGCGGCATGCCCTCGTACAGCTTCAGGCGCTGCAGAGCGGCGGCACCGCGTGCAGTCTTGTGGGGGACCATTCCGCGGACGGCCTTGTAGAGGATGCGCGAAGGGGCACGCTCGTGGAAGGGGCCGGACTTGGTCGGGTTGACCAGGTGCCTCTTGTTGAGGTACGCGTGGTAGCGCAGCTGTTGGCAAGGTTGGCGTATGGGGGATCAAGAGGAAAAGGGACTGCAACGTCAGGCGATGTCCCCACGAGGAACCGTGCGCCCAAGGCTCGACTTCAAACGAGCGACAGCTCGCGAGGCGCGGCGGCACTCACCTTGTTGCGGAAGAAGGAGCCCGAAACGTTGATGAGCTCGCATCGAACGACGGTGACCTTCTGGCCGGAGAGGATCTGCTTGGCGAGGACCGAAGCAAGACGGCCAAGGAGGTGACCCTTGCCGTCGACGAGGTAAGGCTTGCTCTGCTGAAGAGACATCTGTGAGGTGGGCGGCAGGATGGTGTAAGGGAGTTCAGGAGCAGGCGGAAAGTGTCAGTTCCGATGCCGTCGGGTTCCTTGCGCTTTCGATCCGGAAGTAAGATCATGGCTGGGCCGCTGTAGCATCGAGTCGATTCGCTGTCGTGCCGCTGTCGTGTCGCTGTCGCATTGCTGTCGAGTCGAGTTGGACCTTTGTCGGGTCGAGATTAGTGCAAAGGTTGTCGCCTCCACGCCGAACACCGGAGCCTGCCTCCGCCATTCCTGCTGCCGCTCTCAGAGACGGCATGGAGGTCATCGAGCGCCAGAAGATTGTGTCGGAATGGACAATGCGTCCTCTCCTGGCCATTCCCTTCCCATGTCTGCCGATTCCTTCGACGTTTCTGTCCGTGTCCGATCCTGCGCCACCGAGTGCTCGCCCTAAGACGGGTGAATCCGCCGTTCCAGAGGTCTGACGGGCATCCTGCACCGATCTCGCTACCCTGCCGGCTTCGATCCGCCTAGACTGGACCATGCGTCGCCGGGCCGCCAGGAGGGCTTTCCGATCGCAATGGAAAAGAGCATGGCGGCGGCGGCTGAAGTGTTCGAGCAGAACATCGCCTGAGAAGCGATGGAGGCCGTCTGACGGCAAACGTCGATCGTCATGTTGTTGCTCATCAGTCGGAGGTTCGGCGGTGGGCGAGGGTCGGCAATGTCGTTGTCGGTCGGCGGAGGCGATATCGACGCCAGAGCGGTATCGATGCTACAGGGCGCCATGATCCCGGAACGAATGTCGGTTCGCAGTGCCGCTGATACCGTACCTTGATGATATGCTTGACGGGGTGAAGGGGAGGGTAGGGGGGAGGCGGGTGACAGAAGTGGTGAGGTGGTGACGAGCGCGAGCGTTTCGGCGAGCGGGCGGGCGGCCGGGCGGGCAGCGGCGGCAGCGTTTGGCCTGCTTCCGCTGCCTTGGCTGATTGGAGGCCAGGCCAACCAAGCCTAGCTTAGTGGGGCTGCCTCCGCACCGCCTGCCCAGAAGCTCGCTACCGAACCCAGCGCGGCCGGCCCTTTGCCGATTTTTCTCTTGCCTCGAACTTGGGGCGTGAGGCTCGCCAGGCTGTCAGCCAGTGCACGTGAGGAACTGTAAAATTTCGGCCGTCGTGGGCATTTTCTCGTCTGGGCGCCAGAGGCTACAGGCCAGGGTCCGCAGGCGAAATTCTGGCAGAGGGGCGACACCCGGTGGCATCCCCGGCCCCGACGGTGGGCTAGCCTGCCCGTCAGCCAGGCAGCCCCAGCCAGACCGCCAGCCCGCCAGGCTGGGGCTGGCAGGGCTGGGGCTGGGTGTATGGAGAGAGAGGCGCCAGCGGGGCCTGAGGCGGGCAGGAGGTGGGAGAGCGAGTCGGGGCTGGCCATGGGCACGTCCGAGACGATCAAACCGTTGCTACACCACCATCAGCACCCTCAAGCAAGGTAAGTGTCGCCGCATCCGCCGTAGCTGGAGCCATGCTCGTACGTCGACACCAGAGCTCCGGACAGCTGGAATGGAGATTGGACGATGGTATCGGCGGGAAGGAAGGATGGTACCACTGGCCGGTACCGACAGCGGTTCGACCTCGACATTCTCGACCGACGACTACTGCACCTTCGACAACCTGACGACGGTGGCGAGGACAAAGCCACATGACACTACCATGTTGGCCGCCGAAGCGCCGTCCCGCGACGATATCCCGGATCGCCAGCTCCATTCACTTGTTGCGGTCCGCTTCGACCGGGCGTGGACACCGGCATCCCGCGATCCACACACACCCTTTGCATCGGACATCGAGTCCGTAATCCTCGAGGAGCGCCCTTCCGATGACTCTTGGAAGCGATGCATTCTTGCCGCTACAACCGGAGCGGCACTCGATCTTCGGCTGGACCATGGGGGCTCATGGCGGTGCAGTTCAGTCCGATCAGGAAGAGGCCTTTGCCTTGCGGGCCCACGTTGCCGAAGTGTTGCAGGAGGACCAGGAGGGTTGAGCTGGACTCTGGTGTCGATGCGCGCGACCGTCTCAGCGGCTCCAGGAAAGCGCAAAACTGACAAACTGGTTTCGTTTCTCCAACCTCGATCTTCGACCATCCAACCCACGTCGCCTTCGAACCGACCGCCCTCCGACCACCTCCTCCGCCGCTCGCTTCTCTCGTTCGTCCATCCACCCGCGTCACCTCGCTACAGTTGTCAAGATGGCCGCCACTAAGATCCCGATTGTCAAGAAGAGGACCAAGGCCTTTAAGCGCCACCACTCGGACCGCTACCACCGTGTCGGCGAGTCATGGAGGAAGCCCAAGGGTATCGACTCGTGCGTTCGTCGCCGATTCAGGGGCACCATTGCCATGCCCAAGATCGGCTACGGCTCCAACAAGAAGACGCGTCACCTCATGCCCAACGGCTACCGACGATTCGTCGTCTCCAACGTCAAGGACGTTGAGCTCCTCCTCATGTGAGTCATCGTGTCCCGAGCAGGACGAAGGATGCCTTCACGCCGCGCCCGTCGAGGTGGGACGTCCGCAGCTGACGTGTGAGCGCCTGCCTTTCGCCGATGCTTTCGTTTCGCTCTGCAGGCACAACAACTCGTACGCTGCCGAGATCGCTCACAACGTCAGCAGCAAGAAGCGCATCGAGATCCTCGAGAAGGCCAAGGTCCTCGGCATCAAGGTCACCAACGCTGGTGCCCGTGTCCGCGCCGAGGAGGCCTAAGCTGGTCCCCTCTTGACCGCCTTGCCCTTGCCGCCCGGCTCGCCTTCCCTCGACCTTGTCCCGACTATGGTGAACCACACCACACCATGATATGCCCACAAAATCCTCAATGTACATCACGCACCGCACACACGCCACCCGCACCTTGCCGTTGATGCCGCATCGGTGCCGCTCCGACCGGGCCGGCTGACGCGATGACGCTGTTCCGACTGGCACCGAGCGATCCGCGCTCCTTTCTTTCCCCCTTCCGATCTCGGACGACCCTCTGAAGATTCTCGAGCCTAACCCACTCGACGTCGGGAAGGGGGAGCCCCCGTTTGCTGCCTCTCCTTCCTTCGCTGCCTCGCATGCGGGCCCCGGGGAGTCTGACCACACCCGTGTCCGCCCGTGCACTACTCGCTATATAGTTGTGGTGGCGAAGAGGCGAGTTGCAGCTAAAATCAAAAAGCCAAGGGTTCTCGCACCACAGTCTCGCCTGATAGGAGCCGGTCCTGCCCTGCTGGTGTGTGTGACTGTGGAGACACCCGCCAAGAAACTGAGCCGTACCCTAGCACATCGTTGCGACGGGCCGGCATGATGACAAGCTGGTCGGGTAGACGACCGCACGCGTTTGGTCCAAGGTGGCGGCCGCAGCAGAGGCAGAGCTACCCTTTGAACGGGCAGAGCGATGCTTGCCTCGTACTTTGGACTGCCTGCAAGACCGTGTGATGACCCCTGAGGCGACGCCGAGGCAGCAGTCGACGTGAACGGGATGGACCAGACGGCAAGTGCGGGGCTCGAGAGGCCACAGGCGTCAAAGACCGGATTTCGGGTTGGGGTCAGGTCGGGCCCGGCCCGCGGTCGAGGCAGCTCCACACCGCTCTTCGGGTGGACCCTTTGGGCTCTTTCCTTGGTCGTGAGCCTTTGAGTGAGCCTCGCCAACCACCTCCATCCGCCTTCCTCCATCCTTCGCCTTCACCACAGTTGCCACGCTTCCCTGGCAGCAAGACCTCTGCGATCTCTCGAGAGCGCCGGCTCCCGAGACTGTCCTGCTTTCTGCAACTCTCGACCATCAAGGGAAAAGGCAAGGCGGCCGGTAGCATCCGCAGCATTGTCCGACGGCCCCGCCCCTAGCGCCGCGATTCGCCCGTATCCAACATGGACGACCAACAACCGGCGGCGCAGGCGATGCCTCCGCCATCCCTGCCACCTCGAGTCCCGTCCGGAGACTCGCCGGTCGCCGGAGAGGCATCTCCGAGCGCCGGCCCGAGCCATTCGGGCCCTGGGAGGCAGGTACGCCCGCGCCGCTCCGTACGCCCATCGGCCAAGTCGCTGCAGGCTCGCGAGAACTCTCCCGGGGCTTGGGAGCATGGCGGACGAGGTCAGCGTTCCACGCGCACTCCGACGGGGAATCGGCCGCAGATCAAGCTCAAGATGCGTCAGGCCGGTGGCGCAGCCGGAGGGCTGGGTCAAGGGCCCAAGACGAAGCCGTACATGCAGGGCTTTGATCGCGAGCTCGACAGCGAAGATGACGAGACGGGCGAGGGCCTGGCTTTCGAGGAGCAGCTGATACTGCGGATGCCAGAGGGTCCTCAGTGCGACAAGCTGCGAGAGGCCGTTGCGAAACGACAGATCGGCGACGACGTGTGGTTCAAGTTCAAGGGTGGGTACACGCACCGCGCTCCGACATCGTCCACCGGCCTTGCATCGTCGCTCTGACCGCGCGTCCTCTTTCCCTGCCAAACTCTGGCGCCCTTGACCGTAACAGACTCTCGTCGCGCCGTCTTCCACGCCGGTGATGCGCTGTTCTCGGCGAAATTGGTGGATCTGCCTTCGATCGTCGAGTCGCACAAGACGCTCGACAATCGTCAATTCTTCAAGATCTCGGACATTTCGCAGATGCTGCTGATCGAGGACCAGATTCAGGACGAGACGCAGGCCTCGGGGTCCTCTTCCGGCAGAGGCTTTGACATCAACGACTTTATCTACCCGCATGGCATCACACCCCCGATGAAGTGGGCCCGGAAACGCCGCTTCCGCAAGCGCGCGCCGAGGAGAGCCATCGAGACCGTCGAGAAGGAGGTCGAGCGCCTGCTCAAGGAGGACAAGAAGGCGGAGCAGGTCGAATACGAGATCTTTGACGCGGCCAACGGCCTGCCGCCGGATCTCGAGGACGAGGAGGACGCCGATGCGGCGGGCGAGGAAGACGATGACGACGGCCGATCCGTCTCGGCTTCAGTCGCCGGAGCCACTTCCGTCGCCGACACACCTCGGCCCGTGGGCTCGGACGACGAGGCGACTCAGTTCGGCGAGGGCGAGGAGGTCGACGGCTCGCAGATGGGCGACTACGATCGCGAGGCGAGGCACGGCGGCGATGGCTACGACGATGAGGACGACGTCGACGAGGACCTCGCGGCTGAGCTGGACGCTGCGCTCGAGGAGGAGGATGATGCAGAGTCGGCGCGCTGGGCCGGCAGCGAGGCGCAGAGCCGTGCCAGCGACCAGGAGGACCTCTGGGACGACGAGGACGACGACGATGGGGACGACGATGACGAAGAGGAGGGCGACGAGGACGAGAACGATGACGAGAAGGAGGCCCGCGTTCGAGAGGCGCAGCTCGAAGCCGAGTGCCGGGAGATCGAGGCGCTCGTCCGCAGGAAGCAGGCCGACGTCGACAGCACGATGAACATGATCATCAAGGTGAGTCTTGTTGGCGCTGGGGGGCTTTGTGTCTCGCGAGCGACCACTGACAGCCAGGTCCGTGTTTGTGACCGTCGTCTACATTACGCACATGCAGAGCCGGCACCAGCAGGCGCTACGAAGGCTGACGACCGAGAGGGACATCAAGCGCGGCCAACTCGCGGACGTCAAGCAGGCGCGTCGCGAGAAAAAGGAGGCCAAAGCTGCCGCCGCCGCGGCCGAGGAGGAGGCGGCGGCGGCGGAGCAACAGCAGCAGCAGCAGCAGCATGGCTCGACGCCGCAAGACGTGCCACCGGGCGTCCCCACAGTGGGCGTCACCAGCGCCACTCCAGGCGCAGAAGATGGCGGCCGTGCGTTCGCATCGGGCTCGCCCGAGAGGCAGCAAAGAGCGGCGCCTGCCGCCCGTCCGAGCATGCCGCCACCCGCCTTTCCCGCCAGTCGATCGGCCACTGCGTCTGTCGCGCCGGTGCCCATGGAGGTCGATACACCTGGCGATGCGGATCAGGACAGGAGCGTAGGCGGTGCAGGCGCGGACGGGGACGATGACGGGGACGACGATGGCGATGCCGACGACGATGACCTGTGGGACGACGGCGATGAGGCGTAGCACAGGCGTCGAGGCTCAGCCGCGCTGTCTCGATTTTCGTGTTGACTTTTCCCTTCATTTTCTCGGCTTGAGCCTGGCGACTCTCGGCGACGCCCCCTCGTCCAAGGCCTCTGCGTGCAACAGTCCTAGCCTGTACTTGTGTAACCGCTTGAACCCATTTCCACCTAACGATTGAGCCATCCGCCCGCGCGCTAGGTCGAGAGACACGCCTCGGTCTAGACCGCAAGGTGTCTTCATCAGAGACCAGAGTCCTCTGGGCGGCCATTATCTGCGCCTCGAGGATGAACGTACGGCGCGGACGATCTGTAGAAGTTGACAACAGTCTCGCGACCCCATAGGATGGAGGGCCTGCTGGTGCCCGCAGGCGTGCATTCCTGTCACGCTCGCCCAGACGCACACACGGACGGACTCGCATGCCCGGGCCAGGCAAGAGGGGGTCACAAGGCTGACGCTTTCGGCGGCTGCTCATCGCCGGCCTAAGCCAATTTCGCCGGCGACTACAACAGCTCCAGGTGGCAGACACACACGCCCGAAGGCTCCTGCTGGTGCCAGCTCGTCAGGCCCGCCGACCGAGGCGATCATGGCAACGCCACCGGCCTGTGCCGGGAGGCGAGAACGTCTCGCTGGCATTAGTGGCAGCGCGATGCTGTGTGTGGCAAACTTCCCAGTTCTTCCAGATCGCTCGAAGTCTCTGCTGCAGGACGTCACACGCCACGCCGCCCTGCCCGGTCTGGCTCGCAGGATGACGGAGTTCGAAATCATGCCTGGCTGCCTGGCTCAAGGCCTGTGCGCCGGCCTCCGCTGCCATCCAGAGGGCGGCCAGTCGAGGAGAGGCCTGATGAAGAGTCGGGCCGGTCGCAGGGGAGAATCAGCAAGCAAGCTAAGGTGCCCAGACCGCCAGGGGCAAAGGGGCGAGCTGAGGTCGGGACGCGCGGAAGAAGTTCAGATCCTGCATCTGCAGGCTCGAAATTCCTTCCAGGTTTGAAATCACTTGGTTGGGTGGGGGGGCAGGCAAGTTGTATTGGACCAGCACACGGGCTAGGGAGAATGCCGCAGCATCCATTTGAATAGCGATATTGCCAGCCAAGTTTGCCGCCGCTTTGGGCGATCAGCCGGGACCGCCAGCGCCGCAAAGACCGTCATCCCGCCTTGCTTCCAGGCCCTAGGCCCTTAGCGAGCGGCCTCTTTGTACTGCTCGGGCAGCGACGATTACAGGCCGTTGTAGTGCCCCGATCCCGGCCCATTTCAAGCCGACGCCTGGACCTTGCGCCCGACTTCGGTTGTATTCCAAGGCCTGGCAACGTGATTCGCTGGCTGGCCACCTCGCCACGCAGGCCGAGTGCGACGAACTGCCCGCTCGAGCAAATTTTTTCCCTCTGCTGGTGCGGCCCAGCAGTCGTCGCCCGCCGCCGCCTCGACTGGGCCTCGCCCCCCCCCCCCCCCCCCCACCCGCCCTCGCAGCCAATAAAGCCCCCCTCTCCGCCCACGCTTCTTCCTTCCCTCTCTTCCCCATCCATCTTTCGTATCACACCCTCACACATCATTCATCATGGGAAAGGAGAAGCTTCACGTAAGTGTCGACACCTCTCTCTCGACCTCGGCGCCACCGGACATCGACGTTCGTCATCCCCAGCAGCTGCGATCAGCCGCCGCCATCGTCGTCTCGGGCTCGCTCGAGAGGCGGCTTTGGTGCCTGGACTTGCCAGCGCTGGTCTGATGCATGCTGGTGGTGGTGGTGGTGTTGGCACCCTGGATGCTGTTTGGCAAGGTCGCTGGGCCTGCTGGCTCGAGGCCATGAACATATTCTTCACCGCTATGGAAACGGTAGCTGACCCTCGCCTTGCCTCCCCTCTCGCCCACCGCCCACCACAGGTTAACGTCGTCGTCATCGGACACGTCGACTCCGGCAAGTCGACCACCACCGGTCACCTTATCTACAAGTGCGGTGGTATCGACAAGCGTACCGTCGAGAAGTTCGAGAAGGAGGCCGCCGAGCTTGGCAAGGGCTCGTTCAAGTACGCCTGGGTCCTCGACAAGCTGAAGGCTGAGCGTGAGCGTGGTATCACCATCGACATTGCTCTCTGGAAGTTCGAGACCCCCAAGTACATGGTCACCGTCATCGACGCCCCCGGCCACCGTGACTTCATCAAGAACATGATCACTGGTACCTCGCAGGCTGACTGCGCCATCCTCATCATCGCCGGTGGTACCGGTGAGTTCGAGGCTGGTATCTCCAAGGACGGCCAGACCCGTGAGCACGCCCTGCTCGCCTTCACCCTCGGTGTCCGCCAGCTCATCGTCGCCGTCAACAAGATGGACACGACCAAGTACTCTGAGGACCGTTTCAACGAGATCATCAAGGAGACGTCGAACTTCATCAAGAAGGTCGGCTACAACCCCAAGACTGTCGCCTTCGTCCCCATCTCGGGCTGGCACGGCGACAACATGATCGAGCCCACCACCCAGATGCCCTGGTACAAGGGTTGGGAGAAGGAGACCAAGTCGGGCAAGTCGACCGGCAAGACGCTCCTCGACGCCATCGACGCCATCGAGCCCCCGTCGCGCCCCACCGACAAGCCCCTCCGTCTTCCCCTCCAGGACGTCTACAAGATCGGCGGTATCGGAACGGTGCCCGTCGGCCGTGTCGAGACCGGTGTCATCAAGCCCGGCATGATTGTCACGTTCGCCCCCTCGAACGTCACCACCGAAGTCAAGTCGGTCGAGATGCACCACGAGCAGCTCCCCGAGGGTCTCCCCGGTGACAACGTCGGCTTCAACGTCAAGAACGTCTCGGTCAAGGACATCCGCCGCGGCAACGTCGCCTCCGACTCCAAGAACGACCCCGCCATGGAGGCCGCCTCGTTCAACGCCCAGGTCATCGTCATGAACCACCCCGGCCAGATCGGCAACGGCTACGCCCCCGTCCTCGACTGCCACACCGCCCACATCGCCTGCAAGTTCTCCGAGATCCTCGAGAAGATCGACCGCCGTACCGGCAAGTCCGTCGAGACCGCCCCCAAGTTCATCAAGTCCGGCGACGCCGCCATGGTCAAGATGATCCCCACCAAGCCCATGTGCGTCGAGTCGTTCAACGAGTACCCCCCCCTCGGCCGCTTCGCCGTCCGCGACATGCGCCAGACGGTCGCCGTCGGCGTCATCAAGTCGGTCGACAAGACTGCCAAGGGTGGCAAGACCACCAAGGCCGCAGAGAAGGCGGCTAAGAAGAAGTAAACGGTGCAGCCTTCGCGGCCACCAGGCGCTTCCTTGCCTGCCCATCGCGCGGTACCCTCTCCCGTGCGGATCCCAGTCCCTGCCCGCCTTGTCTCGCTGGCGGAGTGAAGCGAGTCATCCCCCCCTGTATTGTTCGCCGTTGTATCCACAGCTCTCGTCGTAGTCTCCACTTCGTCGACCTGCTGCCTCGGTGACTTGCGCTCCTCGATCGATGTTTTCCGTACAGGTCTCTCGATCCAGAAAAGTACAACCTTTCTTCATCATCTCGACCCCCTTGTGTGTGCGTGCTGTCACGGGCTCGAGCGACTTCGTCGCTTTCGCCGTGAACCCCTTTTTCGGTCAGAGCGCCTTGCGATGGGAGTTGCTCCATGTGGCAGCAGCAAGCAGCTTTTTCGAATGACGCGTCTGTTCTGACTTTTTTCGGTTGGGCCCGGTCTCGATCAGCGGCGGCCTGAAAATTTCAAAGGGCTGCTGTCATAGAGTTGCAGCAGCGCGCCTGGACAGGACGCCCAGCGCTGAACCCGGCGACATGAAGCAGCAAGGATTTTGCCAAAGCTGCTGCAGCTATGCATCTCAACAGCTGACTGCAGCAGTCTGACTCTTCTGCCAAGGTCATGGAGTTAGCCATGGCACCAGCGCAATGCAAGACTGATGACAATGGCCTGGTCCTGCACATGGTCTGAGTCCTTGCAGGAAGGGGAGGGCCAGGTTCACATGTTGCCTTGCAGATCAACCTAACATCTGTTGCCTTGTCTGTTCAAGGGCCTGCAAGGAGGTGCCTGATGGATTGCACCAATGGCCTGAGCTGTACTGACAGCATGAGCTGTACTGATAGCATGAGCTGTTGATAGTTGGAAGCAAGGAGATGCCCAAGGGATGAAGCAGCAGTAATGAACCTAGACCTTCCAGCCAATCCAGAGGAGCTTGGGCAGCCCATCCTTGGAAACCACAGCTGCATAACATGGTGAGTTAGCTGCTGTGTTGTCTGTTTGCAGTCCATCAAGGTCTACAAAGTTGTCTGGAAAGGTGGCACCATGAGGCTGATCATGGCCTCTTATTGTTGATGCTCAAGATGGTCTTGTAGACTTCATCAAGGACACCTAGACAATTGGCTTCAAGAACCTCTTGGAGGACTTCTTCGATGGTCTGAACGGAGGAATCCCAGGCCTGGATACCTGCCCTTCCATAAGTATGGGCCTTGAGGGGCATCTCCTGATGCTCCCGAGGCAGGTCTTCCTCCTCTGCCTCACCGGTACACGTGCAGCCTGCCCCAGGCTCTGCAGTAGGGCGACACGGCTTCTTGCGCTTGTAGCACGATGTGCAGGAGGTCGTTGGTCGAGTTCCAGGGTCAAGCGGGTTGGCATTGACCATCTTGAAAGAGCGGACCTTGAGGTGCAGACAGTCTTCACACACCAATGTGGCAGGCATTCGATTGCTTGCAAGCTCGTTCCATCTTCTGCTGATGATGCAATGCAAGCGGTCCTTGAAGTTTGCATTCTCCTCAATGAACAAGGGAAGAGCATCTGCCACCCAGGCCCCCTTGACATCATGAATATTGTGTGCATTTGTCTACACACACACATTGGAAATTTGTGGATCTGGAGGGGCTTGGGCAGCCCATGGCTTGGGTCTTCAGCTGCTGTGTTGTCCATCAGTCTTGATCCCCAGTCTGTCAGCTGCTCCTGCCACTGGACTCTTAACACTGCCATCAATCCACCAAACAAAGGAGATGAGGGAGATATGATGCCATCAAGCTGGTCTGGCTCCCAGCAGTATTGGCCATAGCAGCATCAGTGGAACCACTCTAGTCCCTTTGAGCCCTTCCTCACCACAACAATTGGCCTGAAAGTCAAGGTCAACCAGGCTGTTTACAGCTATGGGGGACACACATACAAGTACTGGATTGTACAAACAAAAAGACTGCATCTCAGCGGCAACAAGAGGACCAACACCAAGTCTTCAAGCCGAAAGATGCATTTCACCTTCAAGTCAAGCGCCAAGAAGGCTGCAGAGCTGCTCAGGGAGCATGTCCTGAAGCACTGGCAGCACCGTTCATACCTTCAAATGTTTTCCAAGGTGCGTGCTCAAGTCTACAAAACAGAGCTTCAAGAAGAAGGAGGCCCTGGCACCATGCGCAGCTGCTCTTCATGAGTGCCTGGCCCAGTGAGCTGCCAGACGGGGTCAGGCAACTGCCTGGCCCAGCGAGCTGCCAGAGGGGCTCCTGATGAGTGAGAGGTGTGGCAAGATGACTCATCCACAACACCAATGCCCCTTGCTGCTCTACCACAACAGAGCAGCCCTTTGCTGAACCCTAAGAGCAGCAAGACCAGCACATTGGGAGAGCTGTTCCTGAGGAGAGTCAGCAATGTCTTGCTGCACATTTATGAGAGGTCAGAGGAGAAGGGGGACAAGACCTATACATATTGGATCATTCAAGCCACAGGCTTGCATCTCATTGGGAACAAGAGGGCCAATACAAAGGCTGCAAGCAAGAAGGTGCACTTCAACAACAGACTGTTGGCTGAAGCAGCAGCCAGGCTTCTGCAACGCCACATTGGGCTGCACCAGAAGCAGCACCCATATGCGCAGATCTTTTCAGAGGTCTGGAAGCAAGTGTACAAAGGAGAGTTGCTCCAAGCTGGAGGCTCAAGGATGGAGCCTGCAGCTGGCTACACCCAAGTTGGCTCACAGCCTGTGTGCTGTCGTTCATGTAAAGAGCTCTCCAAGGTAGATGCAATGAGAAGCCAAAGTGAGTGGTGCCCTCTGATGTGGCAGCCTTGACTGAGGGCCCTTGTATGTTGCAGTCACTGCCGCCAAAGGCTTGGCCTTGTCTCAGAACTAATGTCAGCTTGAAATGCTGTCTTCTATGCCAGGGTTCTGCTGCAGCTGCTGGCTCAAGATGGAGCAGAGGGAGCTGTCAAGGCCCAAGGACACCTGACTTGAAAAGTTGCTTGGCAACATCTACAGGCCCCATGGCAGCACAGGCCTTGAGGATATGCCAAGCAGGTCAATCCTAGCTGGCAAGATGGACCTTCTGGAGCGCATCAGCCTGGAGCAGGCAGAAGGCTCTGAACCACCCCTGGAGCACTCGACCCTGCCCAAGACTATCTACTCTGGCCCGACAACCAAGTTTGGGCAGGAGTGGCTCCGGGTCAGGGACAGGATCAGCGCCTTCGTTTCGGAGTACATGGAGCCATTCCTATCTGCTCACCCCAGTCTGCACATCCGCTGCAACAGGGACTGCTTCCCCGTCTTCTTCTTCAACGAGGCTGCCAACACAATCAAGATCTTCAAGTTCCTCTTCGAGAAGGCGCTGCATGCCAAGGAGGTGTGCGATCAGCCCAGCCGCAACGCCGCCAACCCCAAGCCCAGCAACAAGGCCGGGTACAAGCACTACTCCTGCTTTACCATGGCAGCATTACTCCTGGAGCAGGCTGCCCTCTTTGCCGCTCTGGACTGCAACCCCTTTGACAGCCAACACTGGTTCAATGCCTTCAGCACCAGCTTGATGGCCAAGGACAGGGCTCTAGTCAAGATCCTAGAGGTGCAAGACCTCCTCACTAACATGACACAGCTGGTGAAGCACCAGTGCAACATCCAGCAAGTGTCAAGGTGAAGGGATGAAGGGCTCTTGTTGTCACTGT